AAAGAAACAAATAATTTAGCGTAGAAAATATTTCGTTGTGTATTTCACAATAAGGACCTTGACGTCACTGTAACCTTTATATTTGAACATAAAAAATGGAGTTGATCTTTTTTTCTTCAACAGCCAACTTGACCTCATTATTAATGGAAATGCGTGTTAAAAGCAAACGAAAACACTTAGTTTTATCCACATTGTACTTTTGTAGTTGCGTGACTATCACGGTAGTGTTCGCTATTCTTTACAAGAAGATAATTGGATTCGTCATTCTTTACATGAGAATAATCGGGTTCGTTGTTCTAGACATGAACATTTTGGTACAAGTAACTTTAAGATTCAATATCTGTTTTCATATACTGGTTTTAATTTATTAATCCAGATATTCAGGAACCCTCAAGATGGATAGATCTACGTTCGGGGAGGATAGCTTACCTAATAATTGACTGGATGAAGAACAAATCACTTATCCGACGGGGATTAAAATGTGAATCATGTAAATACATTTATGAATTAGACAAAGTTCAGTGCCTCTCTGGGCGGTCTGCGGGCAATTTTTATTCCTTGCCCAGGTGTTCGCGTAAGGCCCCCCCCCACCTTAAAAAATGACCTTGTGTCACATCTCGTCTCAGTGGGGAGAGGGAGTAAATACAATGTCTCTCTGGACGGTTATGTATAAAAGTGCCAAATAAAAGACTGCTCAGTGTTCATGGCACAGGTTATTTAAATCAGTTCATAATATGGATGAAACGAAATACTCAGACGGCCATCCTTCAAATTTTGCAACTTTGAATTTTGTATTTTATTTTTAGAGCAGGAAAAGGCCTGGATCATCACTTCATAAAATGGAGTGATGATCCATGCAAGAGTTTATAAGATAATTATCATAAAATAATATATAATTATCATAAGATACTAATCATAAGATAATATATAAGATAATTATCATAAGATAATATATAAGATAATTATCATAAGATAGTTATCATAAGATAGTATATAAGATAATTATCATAAGATACTTATCATGAGATAATATATAAGATAATTATCATAAGATCCTTATCATAAGATAATATAGAAGATAATTATCATACGATACTAATCATAAGATAATATATAAGATACTTATCATAAGATAATATATAAGCTAATTATCATAAGATATTTATCATAAGATAATATATAAGATAATTATCATAAGATCCTTATCATAAGATAAAATATAAGATAATTATCATAAAATTATATATAAGATAATTATTATACGATACTTATCGTAAGATAATATATAAGATAATTATCATAAGATACTAATCATAAGATAATATATAAGATAATTATCATAAGATACTTATCATAAGATAATATATAAGATAATTATCATAAGATAATATATAAGATAATTATCATAAGATACTTATCATAAGATAATATATAAGATAATTATCATAAGATACTAATCATAAGATAATATATAAGATAATTATCATAAGATACTTATCATAAGATAATATATAAGATAATTATCATAAGATCCTTATAAGATAACATATAAGATAATTATCATAAAATTATATATAAGATAATTATTATACGATACTTATCGTAAGATAATATATAAGATAATTATCATAAAATACTAATCATAAGATAATATATAAGATAATTATCATAAGATAATATATAAGATAATTATCATAAGATACTTATCATAAGATAATATATAAGATAATTATCATAAGATACTAATCATAAGATAATATATAAGATAATTATCATAAGCTACTTATCATAAGATAATATATAAGATAATTATCATAAGATAATATATAAGAAAATTATTATAAGATAATTATCATAAGATAAAAATAAGCGGAAATTTAATTTTTTTAATTCTACGATTATCATTTTTCTCTTTACGTAACAACTTGCTTGTTTTATCGAATTTTGTTGTATTGTGATTACGTGCTGGTAGAAAAAAATGTTTGCACTTTTTGTCGAAACATAAAGAAAAAAACACGTATGAAAACCATGCTAATTAATTTCTCTCTAATTATTGAAATGACCAATGAAGATAAATTACCCTTACCATCTCAATATAAGCCTTACCCTACCCGTGATATGGCAAACAGAGGACTAGTAAATACATTTGAAAGAAACACTTTATCTTATAGGGTTTAAGCAGGACCGGTGCGTCTTACCCCCAAAACTTCCAACCGAAGGAGGGGTCGTTTTGTCTTCTGTCACTTTTTTCTTTCAGCCCTGTTTAAATGGCCATCCGCCATTTTTTTAAACTTATTTTTAGACTGACGTTACATCAACTAATAATATATATCGTGTATCAGCACGGCCGGTGCGGTGCGTACTACAGAGGAATCCCCGAAGAGGTTGGACCCTCAAAAGGGGCTAGGTTCAGCAGCGTTTTTCTTTTTCTTTTTTCTTTTTTTTGCTTTTTGTACTTTTTTTACCTGTTATATTGTTAATAATCAACTATAACAATCGACAGGGTCGATGATTAATACCCCGAACCGCGTGACGGTCCCATGCCTACTAAGGTGATGGTGGCGGTGGTGGTGGTGGCGGTGGTGATGGGGGGGGGGAATGTTGTAGTGCTAATTTCAGTAACGCTTATTGTTTTAAATTGTAATTTTCTTTCTAAACAGTTCTTTTAAATCAATTAAGAGGGTATATCTCAGTAAAATCCAATGAGGATCTCTGCTTTTTTTTAATAATAGTAATACTAACCAGAAATTCACAGCTAGAAATTAAAATAAAATTTCTAGTCCCTTTTTTTTTTACATTTGTAGAAAGATAAAAACAAGAAAATGATCGCTTACAAAACAAAAATGTTTAAACATTTCAATGCACGAAAAATTTCCCGTAAAAAAGAAATACTGTTTTTAAAACAAATTTAAAAAAAAAAATCCCGTTTGTGTTGTGTTGGAATCTTGGTAAAACTTCTTTTTTTTTTCAGCGGAGATGCATCGGCGATTAATCTTTATGGAAATGTAAAAATTTGCGACTCAAAAATTTTTTCAAGCAAAATTTAGTCATGAAAATATTGGTAATTATTACAAAAAGAATAACATTTTCTCGGATTTTTTTAAATAAAAAAAAATATTCGCTGCCCTCCCTCACCCCAATGATCCTTCGAGGAATTGTGGCCCCCAGGTTGGGAAATTTTGAAATCGACATGTAGTAGAGAAGGGGCCCTCGTATCAAAGTTTCTGAGATGCTCGGGACCCTAGCGCCGGACCTGGATTTAAGGTTGCGTGTTGGCGTGTAGTAGGGTTTTGTGTGTTCATATATAAACACTGAAAAAGCAACAAATCTGGGGTTTCTAATACAGACCGTTCATTCTTTTTCTGATAGAAACTGTGGGAAAACGAAGTTCTCAATGTCTGTTGGGTCCGTCCGTTTTCTTTTTCTGATTCAGAAGTAAGATAGGGTAAGTAATGATAAGAATCGCTATAATGGTCGAACTCAAGTCAGCTTTACGCTGAGTTGGAACAACCAAAGTAAATGTTGTATTTACTTAATCATGTTCTGAAAAACACGCCTGAACACTATGCGTTGAGAAGCGGAAAGAGAATGCAGTTCTATCCTCTTCAGAAGTGAGGTCATAAAATTGTTCAGACGACAAAACCCCTTTCTGGTCCCTTTATTGCTAGCATCATGGGAAAATATATTTATTTATCTTTTATTCTTTATCATTATTTTATTTCATTTTCCAGAAATCTACATATTTACAAAACTTGAATGTGACAATAGTTTGTTCATGCAGTGAACCAGATACACATTAGTATATATGGAAAAAAGAAGTGAATTAAGGTTTTACTTGATAGTGGAATTGGTCGTACGATGTGTCAATGATATGATTAGGCTATAAATGGCAAAAGAAAATGGAAGACTGGAATAGATGTGATGATGTTCTGATGAATAAGCACCAAGTGGGGAGGCTACTAACATTTCGTGTTTCTAGCTAGAATGTCATTTATAAGTTTACTTATTAATACTTAATCCAAAATCTATCATTTAAAAGTCTAGTTATTAATACTCAATCCAAAATCTATCATTTATAAGTCTACTTACCAATACTTAATCCAAAATCTATCATTTGTAAGTCTAGTTATTAATACTTAATCCAAAATCTATCATTTATAAGTCTACTTACCAATACTTAGTCCAGAATCTATCATTTGTAAGTGTCGCAGTGTGTCCAAACACCACTCCCACCTTTTCTTAAACAACCCCGGATATGCCGTCCGGTAGAGAAAGGTCACGGCACTTGTGTGCCAAAAATAGCAACGACATCCTTTCAAACTGTCAGAAACACACAAAACTCAATTTTCGCCACTAAACAAAAATAAAAGACCTTTAATTTCGAACCGAAATTAATTTAAATACAGTTAACAAACACCGAACACACTTTCGACAATAATTAATACGGCCCGGAATTAATTATATTCATTTACTTGTTTAGCGTCACCGCTTTCTCTTGTAGGAACCGTCATATCTAGATCCCCGAGACTTCGCAGCGGTCTTTTAGCCGGCCACTCACTTCACTCTTCGCTACTGCCTTCCCTCTGTGACGCCAGCTCACTCCTGCAGCTTCCAGCTCTCTCCTGCAACTTCCAGCTCACTCCTGCAGCTCCCAGCACTCCTGCAGCATCCAGCTCACCCCAACAGCTTCCAGCGGCCTCCAGCTCACCCCGCGGCGCTCTACTGACGTCCCGATACCTATTCCAGCACCCGCTGACGATCTGATCCAGCGCCCGTTAACGTCCGGACACCGTTCCCGAACAAACGACCTCTGTCTTCTTACCATCCACCGTTCGCTAATAAAGACACGATTCCCATCATCTACAACGGACCATCTGCGTTTGTCATCCTTCTTTGCTATTGCCATTTCCTTGCCTTTGTGTCCCCTGTTTTAGTTGTACGGTCGATTGGCACTCACACCTCTCGGCCCGCTGCAACAAGTGGTGACCCCGACGTGATTTATGGACACAGGCAAACGGCTAGCGGAGAAGCTGGTGGAACACACCGAAACAGAAATCAACACATCAGCCGCCCTGATACAACTACCGCCATACAACTCGATCAACACCAGGAGTTGGTTTATTCAACTTGAGGCGATATTTTCAGCCCGAAAGGTCACACGACAGGACACTAAGTACGCTTCCGTGGTACAAGCCTTACCAGCATCAATCGTTGAAGAAGTGGAAGACATCCTTCTCAATACTCCGGACCAACTCCCATACACATGCCTCAAAGAAGCCATCCTGAAACGAACTGGACGTTCGGACGAAGACCTCATCAGAGACTTATTCTCTAATGTGTCTCTCGGCGATAGGACACCATCCCAGCTCCTCCGCCTGATGAAGAGCCGCCTCGGGAACAACACCATGGCAGAACCCATCCTCCGAGGGCTATGGATGGATCGGTTACCACCGAATATAACACAAGTTCTAGCCCTGGTACCAGTAGAGACGCCCCTTGACGTTGTGGCCGACTCAGCCGACAAAATATATTCCCAAGCTCACCAAAAAGTTCACCAGGTTGAGAGCCACGGAAACCACACACAACGCCTCGAAGAGGAGATGACCCAGCTACGCGCACAGTTGAGAGACCTGAAACTCTCCCTATGCCGGAGGCAGCGAAGCCCAGCACCACGCACGCGAAATCGAAGCCGTACCCGCAGCTCAAGTCCAGGACGGAGAAACAGTGTGGACGAATGTTGGTACCACCAAACCTTCGGTGACCGAGCCCGCAAGTGCCACCCTCCCTGCAGACGCAATAAGGCCCAGGAACGAATAGACCGACAGGCAGCGACGACGATCCCTGTCGGTACTCGCTCACACAGTCGTCTCTTCTACGTGTGGGACCGTAACAATGGCCTCAAATTCCTATTTGACACTGGCGCAGCCATCAGCGTAATACCACCCACCAGCAGATCCGCCTTGAAACCCACCCCATTCCAACTTGAATCGGCTCCCCCATAGAAACCTATGGGAACAAGGAACTTACCTTGAACATCAACCTCAGGCACGATTTCAAGTGGTCATTCACCGTAGCTGAAGTCAGGATACCCTTGCTCGGTGCCGACTTCTTGGCACATTACAACCTGGCTGTCCATATGAAGACAAGGACCCTGTCCGACAACATGACAACCATCAAGATCACAGGGATCCCATCGAGCTTCAACACAACTAGGATCAGCGTGGCAACACAGCACGACCCCCACTACGTAGAAATCCTGCGCCGGTACAAGCACCTCACGCAATCCATCAAACCAACTGATGCAGGCGACCATCAGACCCAACACCATATAAAGACCACCAGACAACCAGCATATTCACGGCCACGACGACGCCCTCCACACAAACTAGCATATGCCAAGAAAGCGTTTGAGGAGTTGCTGGCCGACAATATCATCCGACCCTCAGACAGCCCATATGCCTCACCACTGCATCTGGTACCCAAATCCGACGGGGATTTCAGGATCTGCGTGGATTAACGGAAACTCAATGCGTCCACAGTGCCCGACCGGTATCCTGTTCCGCATATCCACGACTTTGCCTCAGGTTTACAGGGGGACCCGCATTTTCTCAAAAATTGACCTGACCAAAGCCTACTACCAAGTTCCAGTTGCTCCGGAGGACATCCCAAAGACAGCAGTCACAACCCCTTTTGGACTGTTTGAATTCCTAAAAATGCCCTTCGGACTGCGCAACGCAGCCCAGACGTTCCAGAGGCTGATGGACGAAGTTCTGCGTGGACTACCATACGTCTACGCATACATTGATGACATCCTAGTGGCTAGCAGAGACGCTGATCTCCACAAACAACACCTGGAGGAAGTGTTCCGCCGTCTAACACATTACGGCCTCCGAATCAACCCAGACAAGTGCGAATTCGGTGCACAACACATAGACTTCCTCGGACACCACACAGACGCTCAGGGAATCACCCACTTCCCGATAAGATAAAAAGCCATACAGGATTTCCCGATGCCCACATCGATAAAGCAACTGCGACGCTTCTTGGGGATGGTAAATTTTTTACCGCAGGTTTATCCCCGGATGCTCAAAACTCCTCACCCCCTGACAAATCTTCTCCAGAGAAAAAACAAAGCCATCACCCTGGAGGGCGACCAGGAAAAAATCATTCCAAGCAGCAAAAAACTTTTTAGCTAACTTTACGAAGTTAGCACATCTTAACGAAGACACCCGGACTCAGATATATCTAACAACAGATGCCTCAGACACTGGAGTTGGAGCTGTGGTAGAACAGGAGGTTGACAACCAACGCAAACCCATCGCATTCTTCTCGGCTAAATTATCACCAGCCCAGTCCAGATACAGCACCTTCTCAAAAAAACTTTTGGCGATATACCTCGCCATCAAACACTTCCGACATCTACTGGAAGGCCGGAATTTCACCGTTTTGACCGACCATAAACCCTTGACAACTTACCTGTCGAACAACTCGGACAAATATACGGCTCGCGAGATCAGACATCTCGACTATATCTCACAGTTCACGTCTGATATTCGTTATGTCAAAGGAAAAGACAACTCTGTCGCCGATGCCCTTTTCCAGATTTGATGTCAACACAGTGCAAGACAGCCCACTCAGCCAGGACCTGATAGCAGAGGCCCAGGAGTCCGACGCGACCCTCCCTGAAGTCCTAGCCAACGAATCCCTGCAACTGAAAGAATTTCCGGCACCCTTCAGCAACAAAATATTGTACTGCGATACAAAACTGGATCACCCCCAGACCCTACATACCTCCGGCACTCAGAAGGCAAATTTTCAACCATCTCCATGGATTGTCACATCCCAGCAAGCGCGCTACGGTCAAACTCATTGCCGATCGTTTTGCGTGGCCCAACATGAATACTGACATCCGTAATTGGGTATCAACGTGCCTTAAGTGCCAGAAATGCAAGGTACACCGGCACACAAAATCCCCGCCAGGCACATTCAGCAACCTTGACGCACGCTTCACCACATCCACATCGACATAGTGGGACCCCTCCCAATGTGCCAGAATTATCAGTACCTCCTCACAGTGGTTGACCGTTTCTCCAGGTGGCCAGTAGCAGTACCCATCAGAGATACCTCGGCTAACACGGTAGCAAAGACCATTCTTCAGGAGTGGATCGCAATTTTTGGCGTACCCAGCATCATCACCACAGACCGCGGCGCGCAGTTCTCACTCTTTCAGGAATTCACTCAACTGCTCGGCGTCAAACACATCAAGACCACCGCCTACCATCCCTGTGCCAACGGCCTTGTGGAAAGGTTCCACCGAACACTAAAGGCCTCTCTAACTACAAAACATCCCACCAGCAACTGGGTAGACGAGCTACCCCTAATCCTTTTGTCAATCCGCAACACACTCAAAGAAGACTTAGAATGCACTCCAGCCGAAATAGTCTTCGGTACAGCACTCTCTTTACCCGGCCAATATTTCGACGACACCATACCCAACCTAACCACTGCAAGTCCTTTCACTCAAGAACTTCGCCATAAAATGGCCCAACTGAAGTATACACCACCCAGGCAATCATCACCGACTATCCACGTTCCACGACAGCTTCAGGACTTCGAGTTCATTTTTGTCCGAAATGACGCGGTAAAGAAACCACTAACACCAACATACCAGGGTCCATTCAAAGTCTTAAAACGCTCTGAGAAGCATCTCACCATTGATCGAGGAAGCCGGACGGACACCATCTCCATCGACAGAGTCAAACCAGCTTTTCTGGAAAAATCTCCACGGGAGGCAGAACCCGTCTCAACACACCCAGAACCCTCACCTGCCTCAACAACCACGCAATCGCAACCATCACAACCGAGGTCAGAGCCAATCCCAGAATCACCTAGGCAGACCCGTCTTGGAAGGAAAGTCACCTTCCCTAAGAAGTACAAGACATATATTTTCTTCTAATTGATAATGATCAATTATCCTGGGAGAGGGCCTTGTCGCAGTGTGCCCAAACACCACTCCCACCTTTTCTTAAACAACCCCGGATATGCCGTCCAGTAGAGAAAGGTCACGGCCCTTGTGTGCCAAAAATAGCAACGACATCCTTTCAAACTGTCAGAAACACACAAAACTCAATTTTCGCCACTAAACAAAAATAAAAGACCTTTAATTTAGAACCGAAATTAATTTAAATACAGTCAACAAACACCGAACACACTTTCGACTATAATTAATACGGCCCGGAATTAATTATATTCATTTACTTGTTTAGCGTCACCGCTTTCTCTTGTATGAACCGTCATATCTAGATCCCCGAGACTTCGCAGCGGTTTTTAGCCGGCCCGGGGAAGCAGCCCGGCCTTCGGGCTGGGTTGCGACCCATGGCAAAGTCTAGTTTGGACCACACCGTTCCCGAACAAACGACCTCTGTCTTCTTACCATCCACCGTTCGCTAATAAAGACACGATTTCCATCGTCTACAACGGACCATCTGCGTTTGTCATCCTTCTTTGCTATTGCCATCTCCTTGCCTTTGTGTCCCCTATTTTAGTTGTACGGTCGATTGGCACTCACACCTCTCGGCCCGCTGCAACATAAGTCTAGTTATTAATACTTAATCCAAAATCTATCATTTGTAAGTCTAGTTATTAATACCTAATCCAAAATCTATCATTTGTAAGTCTAGTTATTAATATTTAATCCAAAATCTATCATTTAAAAGTCTAGTTATTAATACTTAATCCAAAATCTATCATTTGTAAGTCTAGTTATTAATCCAAAAATCTATCATTTATAAGTCTACCATTCCTTGAATATTACTACCACATTTGGTTTGGTGATTCTGCATTGTATTTAGAGATTCTAGATAAAATCCAAAGAAGAATGCGCAATGTTATTGGTCCTGTCCTGGCCACTTGGTTTCAGTCATTTTCCCGCTCCCATGACGTAGTTGCCCTGTGCCGTTTCTATAAATATATTCACGGTAATTGTTTTGATGAGCTTTCTTCTTTATTACCTAGACCTACGAATTTAAGTTCAATGATAGATTGGCGGTAAGGTCTCCTCCTTTTACAGCTGAAATGGCGAGATGTAATTTTCTTCTCTCTCCTGGGAAACTCTCTTCCGACTTCTTGCTTTCTAGTCAATTTCGATCAATTTAAATGCAGTGTCAGTCTTTATCTTCTTTCTTCTTAATTCCTTTTCTTTTATTGTTCTCTCCACTTAATATGTTTTTCTTATATTCTCTAACACACAAAAACTTCTCGCGTCTTAGTGGTTCTATCGCCTTACTTGTAAAGAAATGATTAAAAATAAAGCCTATTAGATTTTAATTGAAACGATCACAGAAATGCGTAAAGGAATGACTTAATTATCTTTTTGTTTTTCTTTTAAATTCATATTATATTTCATATGGGTTCATTGACATCTACTGTTTACATTTATTTACATTTGATCTAACTTCCCTATCTTTGATGTTGTTAATCAAAACGTTTCGGCCATTGTGCCCTATGGCTTTCTTCAGTTGTCAGTCGATCCCGGTAACGTGACTGAACGAGAACAATCAACACACGAAGATTAAAAAAATGTTCGGTTCGAGATTCGCTGAAGGTTAACGGGATCGACAAATAATCGAAGAAAGCTAGCAGCTTTTTTCAAACTGTGGGTCCCGACCCTTACGTGGGTCACTAGATAAATAAAATGGGTCGCGAAAAAAACGAAAGAAAGAAAAAATACACAAGTGAGAGCAAAGTGCAGAATCTAAGCACCTCTAAATGCTGCACAGCACTCAGAAATCATTGCTAGTTTTTCACCGAGGTAAGTTCACATTATATTTTTTAATTATATATATAGATATATACAAACCTCTCATCAACGGACTAATAGGGATCCGTTCAATCCGATTGTCCGTAGATGAGAAGGGATTACTTTTGAGTAATGTAGTAGTAACTACCAGTAGTTATGATCATAATGTAAATGCTATAAACATATATATATGGGACAAATAAA